GGGGGGGGGGGGGGGGGTAGGTCACAATTTAAAAGGGGAAAATGAAAGTCACAATTTGAAGGGGAAACTTCCTAATCTCACCGCCATCTGTTTTAGGGCTTTCTTTCCTCAGAAGGGCGTTCGCCCCAGGGAGTTAGGAGAACGCCCTTGACTAGCTCAAGCTCTGTGAAGGTGGCCGCGGGGCCCGCTTAGGCCACGCGAGCGCAGGGACAACCCCCACTTCCCTCAACACCCTCCCCCCCCAGCGTTGCAGCCTGTCCCTTGTGCTGGGTGATGGACACCCCTGTCACACACCTGCCACATTGGCAGGTGGCCTCAGGAGTTTGGCCAAGGCGCACTTCCCTCTGTCTAGACCACAGGCCCAGGGCTCCTGGGTCTCGAATGGGACCAAAGCCTAGCCTTGTGTTCATGGCCGCTTCCATAATAAAATCCACCGCATGGGAAGGTTGGGAGGTAGAAATGAGATACTGTCAGGGGGCAGTGCCTGCTGTGGGAAAAGTCAGCTGATACAGTGAAGAATAGGGTCCAAGAAAACCAAACCCCTGTGAAGTATCCCCTTGGCACATCTAACACTGGTTCTCACATAGGAGTCACTCGCCTCGGACCTGCCTGCCACCAATCTAGGGCTTTAAGGTGCTGAGAGTCATGTAACACATTCCTCAGCCAGAAATAAGTAAGACACTGGGCACCGCCCCCTCTTCTGGATTTCCATAGTTTGACTCTACGACCATCTTTTTTTGTGTGGTTGGGGGGGGAGGGTTGCCCTCTAATATGCTGGTGAATGCTGTTAGTCCAATGAAACTTTAAAATGAAATTTAAGATTTTCTGTAAGATGGATTAAATAACCCATAAAATTTCAAGAAGTAGGTGTAGGCAGCAAAACCTAAGTTATTTATTAACACCACATACAGAGGATGGGTTGTTTTCTGATAAAACTACATATCCTGAAATATGTCTTAAATTCTATTCATTTTAACAAATGATTGTCCTAAAATGTCCATAGCTAAAATCTACACATGGTTTAAATTCATTATTTAAGATGGTAAGAAAAAAAATATTTTAAGCGACTTCTAATGATAAGTAACTCCAAAATAACAAGCCAGTACTAATGAACTCAATTAAAAATGGATAGTTTTATTCTCTGGGAAAATGACTGTTTCCTCTCTCCTCCCCGCAAAGAACAAGACATTATTACAAATGAACAAATGTTTATTAGGGAAACAATTTAACCGCTGTCCTGTAGCAGAATTTTACAGACTAAAGTACAACCAGAAGACAATTACACTTTCGATCATTAACACACTACACAGGTGCTTATTCTACAACTGGAAAGTTGCTGAAGTTTGTGACATGCCACTATAAATGTAAGTATTATTAAAAATTACAAATTGTTTAGTGATTATTTTGATAATCTCTTGAGCAGCAGCTCCTGCAAGGAAAAAAAAGAAAAGCAAATCTTTGAAAAGAGTAAACTTCGAGAGTTATATAAAAATACTCAATTCATAAAGAAACCTTTCCCTTCCAAAAGCAAAGTTATTTCAAAATAGTTCAAAACAAAAATAGCTTACTGAGTTGTATCAAAATAAAAGGCTACAATTCTTTATAACTATGTTATTAAAGGAAATAAAAGTCTTGTTTTAGACATTCACACAATGGGATATTACGGCACAATTTAAAAGAAGGAAGTATTTTTAATTATGGTGGTTTAGAAAAACTGGCAAGATACAGTAAGTAAACAAAGTCTAAACAGTAGTATGATTGATCAAACTTTTTAAAAGTATACACGTAGGCATAAAAGATTCTCAAAGGACATCCTTCTGTTGCATTTCAATTTTACCTTGTGCCTGTCTTACTTTTATAACAAAGATAAATTTTTTACTTTTATAAAAAAAAATTTGTAATTTAGATACGAATCTATATTAAATACTGCCAGGCTACTATAACTACTCAAAACAAAATAAACAGAAGAAAAAACAAAAAACTACCAAGAAAAAAAGCTCTGTATCTTTTATAACCTGAAACTTCCTTTTTCCCAAATATTCACTGACTCAATAAAATCTGAGACTCTAGTATGCACCAGATATTGTTCTAGGCATTAGAGATACAGTAGGCAACAAAACACAAAAAGATCTGCTTGCTCTCATGGATTGCACTTTTTTAGCAGCAAGGGGGAGATAATTTACATATAAATAAAAAGTATAGTATGTCAAATGACCGTAAGTGCTAAGGAGAAAAAGCAAGGAAGGAGGATATGAGTACAAGAAGAGGGGCTCAGTTTTAAATAGGAGAGTCACAGATAGCATCACAGAGAAGATAACATTTAAACAAAACCTGAAAGAAGTGAGGGGATATAACAGCATTGTACAAAATGATTATAGAATGCACAGAAGTAATGGCCGGCCCGGTGGCGCACTGGATAGTGCGCCCGCTTGGGAAGCGCGGCAGCGCTCCCGTCCGAGGGTTCGGATCCCACGTACAGACCGGCTCCCGCTCACTGGCTGAGCGTGGGACGGGCGCAACACCGAGGGGTGCGATCCCGTTGCCGGTCAGTAAAAAAGTCAAAAAGGACAAAAAAAAAAAAAAAGAATGCACAGAAGTAATGGCCGGCCCGGTGGCGCACTGGATAGTGCGCCCGCTTGGGAAAGGCGGCAGCGCTCCCGTCCGAGGGTTCGGATCCCACGTACAGACCGGCTCCCGCTCACTGGCTGAGCGTGGGACGGGCGCAACACCGAGGGGTGCGATCCCGTTGCCGGTCAGTAAAAAAGTCAAAAAGGACAAAAAAAAAAAAAAAGAATGCACAGAAGTAATGGCCGGCCCGGTGGCGCACTGGATAGTGCGCCCGCTTGGGAAAGGCGGCAGCGCTCCCGTCCGAGGGTTCGGATCCCACGTACAGACCGGCTCCCGCTCACTGGCTGAGCGTGGGACGGGCGCAACACCGAGGGGTGCGATCCCGTTGCCGGTCAGTAAAAAAGTCAAAAAGGACAAAAAAAAAAAAAAAAACTTTCAATTTATACTTTTCTCTGCTATGGGCAAGTCATCCAGTCATCTTATGTCTCTGGCTGTATCTCTTAGAATCTGGACTGAATCTGAATAAATAATAATTTGCCCTTTTCTGTTACCTGGAAGGTTACTTTGCTATTTTGGCACAAGAGAACTGGTTTTAGTTTAAAATAAATTATCCTGAATCAAGCTTTAATTTGGGTTTGCTTAGAATATAGTTTTCTTAGCTCTGTATCATTCATTTACATTTTGGACACTTTGAATATTAATCAGACCTGGATCTACCTTCAAAACAATCAGCCAGAAAGAAAATGTAACAAGAAAATAGCTCAGTCTATAGAAGATACAGGCAGGATAGAAATATTTTTTTGGAGGGGTGTTATGGAGTGAATGTTTGTGTCCCGCCAAAATCCATATGTTGAAATCCTTACTCCCAATGTGATGGTATTAGAAGGCGAGGCCTTTGGGAGGTGACTAGGTCATGAGAATGGAGCCCTCACGAATGGGATTTAGTGCCCTTATAAAAGAGACCACAGAGAGTTCTCTTGCCATTTTTTCCACCATGTAAGGACACAGTGAGATGAGAGCTGTCTGTGAACTAGGAAGCAGGCTTTCATCAGACCCTGACCATGCTGGCACTCTGATCTCAGACTTCCAGCCTCCAGAACTATGAGAAATAAATTTCTGTTGTAAGCCATCCAGCCTACAGTTTTCTGTTGTAGCAGCTCAAACTAAGACAAGGGGGAAGTAAAGGGAGGGAAGGAAGTAAAAGGAGTTTTTATGAAAGAAATGGCATTTTTGAATTGGGCCTTGAAGAACAGGTAGGTTTTGGACATGCAGGAAATAGAGAATTTTAAGGCAAATGAGCCCAGAAGAGCAAAGATCTAGGAGTGACAAATGAAAGGGCATATCTGGGGGAAAAGCAAGTAACTTGATAACACCAAGGCCAGAAAGGTTGAGTGGAACCAGAACACAGTCTTTAATGTCAAGCTAAGGTCCCTGGACTTGTTTGACCATTGTAGAGAGCATGTGTGTGAACTGGTGGGGCAGAGGGTTAGCTAAATGAGAGACATGATCAAAGCTATGCTTTAAAGGATTGAGAGAGCTGGCCTGTTAGCTCAGTTGGTTAGAGTGTGGTGCTGATAACACAGAGGTCCAGGGTTCAATCCCTGTACCAGCCAGCTGTCAAACAAAACAAAACAAAAAAGGATTCAGAGTGACTCTCCAAGAGTTTAAGATGAATGACAGTGAGAAAGATGGATGGCAGGGAGACCGTATGGGGGGACTACTGAATAATCTAAATATAACATTCTACTTCACTAACCTCCCTAATTAATATAGGTAAGAAAACAAACTTCAAGGGCTGGCCCGTGGCTCACTTGGGAGAGTGTGGTA